ATATTATTTCATAGTATCTTTGACTGATTATGTCGCTAGTGCATTTCATTCAATAATTTATTAGCTGAATTAAATGAAAGTTGCATATATTATTTTTTTTATATATATAGCAAATGTTTTTCTAGATATCGAGGTCATGATCTGTTTTACTTCAAATACCATCGAAAATATGCTACTTTGATCAATTTCTACTAGTGATAGATTTTTTGTATCTTAAATGTGCATGTATGTAAGTCAATATACGTTCTTTTGTCGACGTCCTGTATACGTCCCAAATATACAAAAATATCAAAGACACACATTCGTAACTTATTATTTTCTATTAAACTTGTTAATTTTTTGCGAGCAGGTTTCCGTTATTTTTCTTATCAACTCTCGTAATGCTTAATTAAGGTTTTACGGAGACATATAATGTACATGCATGCAAGTACAGAACATGCACGTTTTATAACTAAGGTATATTGCACATGCAAGAGTGCCCAAATATACGCATGTAGAGTCTAATCTGCGTTTGAAATACAGACATTAAAGTGAACTAATTATAGGTCCGCTGAGTTGATTATGAGTTGTTTTTATAACGGGTAGCCCATACTGTCATCCTGGCCAGTCATCGTCACGGTTTGTAACATCATAATTACACAGGTAAATACTAAGGTGTCAATCTATATATTTTCACCTTTTCTTCCCCCATAAAAAATAAACTACCGAGAGATGTGTCGTTTTCTCTTATCATATATCAATTGACAGCATTTATGAACAGCTGTTAAAACACAGGCCTGTGTAAACGGTAAATCAAAAGAAAGGAAATCTGCGGTATGAAAAACAGAAAATATATATAATGCCTCATTCTCTGAAGATTACGTTGTCTTCAGATAACTAATAAATTAATGTCCGTCGAATTTTATTTCAGTCAAAAAATTTACTGATGTGTACCTAGAATTTGTTTTATGCATTTTTTTAAAAGTGCGATGCCAGAATGCCCTCGGTAATATCATTACAGTTTATATCCACCTCTGTCGCCTTGTGTCTAAAAGTTTTGCATCGGAGTCCTCGTTCACACGTGCGTGGCCGCAGAGAGCCGCAGGCATGTCGGTGTTAAAATACATCGTGTACTCCGATAGTTATAAATGGAAATAGGCTTTGAAATCATGTCGACTCTTTCATATTATTTTATTTTACTCTATATCATGCTTGTTTTAATCAATCGTAACCGCTTATGCATTTATTAATTTCAAGTTTTATGCCTGCATGAAACATGTATGATACCGCGGTGTAATTTTAAGTGTAAGTGACGTTTCCAACTCACGGGAAAAACCCGAAAAGAATATTTCAATACGCAAGTTTCGAGATTATCTCCCTTGGTGCGCTCTTTCGTTGAGGAGGGGAGTTTCGTTGCCGCGTAAACAAAAAGGTGGGACAGATATTTAATTGATACTGTGTATGTTGGATACATTGCATCATCGATATACCGGTTTATCATTACTACACGATTGTCAGGATGCACTCTACAACTTGAGAATAACCTAATTAAAGTAAAGGCATGATTTTTGAAGCAAAAAATCGAAACAAAAAAGAAAATATCAGTGGATGTGAGACTTTTCGGACGAGAGAAGAGATATGGACCTCTGATAAATACGGTGCACATGCATCTGATTACGTCGGAAATCTTAATGACATATTGATTCTTTTCCTTATTATGACTTTAAAACACTAACTTTTTAGAAAATGTTTGTACAATCAAGAAATTTGGTTACTTTTTATAAAAACTACGACCGTTTCTTTCGTTTTCAAGTACCCGAAAATTAATAGTAGATTTGTAAATATGAATAGTTGAGCTTGATAAATCATCAAATGCATCACTGCTGAACATTATTATCTTTCTATAACATTTAGTAAATTTTAAGAACCATAAATATCGTTCTTTTATTTATGCACGTTTGTATACAGAGACAACCTGTCCCACCTCCATGCTGAAATGGGTACTTTTTGCACCTCTATCGTAGGAGAGTTACAATCTCGAAACTGGCGTATTGCACGAATTTTACGGGAATATGCTTGTACATGTACGTTTAATTACATACATGTATGCATTTTTACATACAAAAGCGGCCAAAATATATGCATCCCGAGCTTTCAGAATACGATTTTTAAAAAATTAGAAAAATTCATTACTGTCTCTTAATAATTATCTCTACAATAAAATATCAATTAAATTCTTTTCTTACTTATTGATGTACTTAAATTATCGGTTCGCTCTGATATTGGGTTATTATAATAACAGTAATATTAACCTCCTTCTGGTCAGTCATTGTTAATATGATGAACCGAGAATGTCAATCGGTTGATTTGTTTAGATATGTGTACATGTAGGTTGGGGCTGGTCTTGAATTCCAAGAGAAAGTCACAACCTATTTTTTATATAATCATACACGACATTTTTTTTTTTTTACGAGTGGTCAAATGAATGAAAAACAAGGTCTACAACGATTAATATCTGTGACTTAACTTTCTTATTTTCTTATTTTTTTTAACGTCTTTTATTTTATTTCTAAAACCTAAAAAAGAATGTAATTATTTCTATGTTCACTGGAGTGGTCAATTGATCGACGAAGTGTATACTATTTGATTAAGTTTCTTGGGTAGGGGAGAGGTACCAGTTTTTGATATATTTTATTTTCGGAATTTTGTATTGCATTTTCGACTGTGCATAATATCATTTCTAACATTTATTTTTTCATTCTGAATTTTTGACAATATATATATCCAGCAATTTTGTGTCAACAAAATAGGTGGAATTGTAAGTTTACTAGGATTAAAAAAAGGTGAAGGGCAGAGAAATTTATACATGTACAATGTACATGGTACTTACGGCCTTTGAGCAACGAGGGATAAAATACGGAGAAAGTGATCAGTATTCAAGCTACATGTAAAAATACCATTCAAATAATACAAATCAGGAGAGATGGAATCGGGTGCTATGGGTACTATTCATGCCAGCACCTACCCCGATACGAGACCTTGAGACCGGTCTCATCCATAGGATTGGTCTCCAGGCATCGTTTCACAAGTCTCCAAACTTCACATAAAATATTCTCAATGAACTTTTGATGCTCCCCCATAAAAATGGCCGGGCATATATAATCTGTCATGTCCGTTTTCCAACTTTCCGTCTGTCCCTCAGTCTGGTCGCTTTGCGTTTAGCTCAGTTCAAAGTTCAATTTCAAAGAAACTTAAATTTTTTATATAAAACTTCCTATGCTGATAAACATTGATGAGAGCTATTTTCCTGCATCAACATATTTTGACTTTGACCTTCCTTTTGAACTTGGCAACACTTTTTTTTTTTTAAATTTGTCTAAAGAAACCATTCAAGATAGTATAATCAAACTTCCTGTGCCGATATGTACCGATATGTGCTGATACGTACTAGACTACACGTATGTAACTGCATCAACATTTTTATGCGCCCTAATTTTTTTCGGGGCGCATATTGTTTTTGTCCTGTCTGTCTGTTTGTCTGTCTGTTTATCTGTTTGTCTGTCTGTTGTCAACTTTAACCTTCACCATAACTTTTGAACCCTGAGAGATAGAGACTTCATATTTGGTATGCATAGTCCACTAATTAAGCACTTTCAACTGACACCAAGGACAATGACCTTGGTTTTACCTTTCCTTTGACCATAACCTAACTTTTCTCAGGTTAGTGTTTAACTCAGTTAGAAACAAACCATTCAAGACTGAGTATTCAAACTTATTATGGTGATACAAACTGATGTAAGCTGTTCAACTATATCAGTATTTTTTTTTTACTTTGACCTCTCCTGTAACCTTGATCTCAGTTTACTTAAGTTAGTATTTAGTTCAGTTTTGAAGAAAGCATTTATATTTCTACTCAACTTCATATGCTGATACACAATTTTTGAGAGCTACCCAAACCTTAGTCTAGAACAGATGCTCTAACCATTGTGCCACACGGGCGGTGCTCAGATTTGAAGAATTCATTCAAGACATTTTATCAGACTTTAGTATGCTGATACATTTTGTCCTTGCACTTTCCTGTGACCTTTACCTTACTTGTCTTTAATTTGCCTTTTGCTTAGTATTAAAGAAACCATTTGAGATATTTTTATGTAAGCTTATGCATTATTTGTAGGGGATTTTATAATCTATATCCATCTTTTAAGATTTCAATTTTTAAGAAACTATGCAAGATATTCTCAACAAACGTCATGTACTAATACAGATTTTAATGTTGCATTATTTACTAATATACACTTGGCGCGGCAATCATGTCCTATAGATATATTTCTAGTTAAATCGTTAGGAAAATCATAGTGTTGAACCTAATAAATTCTTCCGATTCGATATATGCTCAGAAAAAATAAGGCTGAACATGTCCAGTCATTCGGACGAGTCAAGTTTATTGACAGAGAAACTGTAAATTCACTACAGTATTTGTACCTGTGAAACATTGCTGATACATGTACATGTATAATGCAGGGTGGGACATGACCTTGACTCAAGTTCAAGGTCACTAAAGATAAGATGTTTTGGCTGGATTCATATACTAAAAGAATATCTAAAAACGTGTGAACTTTTCCAGTCGGTAATACACATATTATATTTTTCTAACAGAGTTTGTCATTGCTTGACGCAAGGTCATTTAGAAAGTTCAAGGTCACATAAATTCCTTTACAGTCTTTTTCCTGGCGAAACATTGTAATTTGCTTCCTTTACAAGCCTTTAGGTTGCTTACTTGTATAACTTTAGAATGTGGCTTGACCTAGACTCAAGGTTACGTCTTCCTATCCGTAGCTCCAACGGAAGACCTATTCGTTGCTTTGCAACGAGCTCGGCTCTAGTGTTTTCAATGATCATGACGATGTCCCATTTATATAGAATGTTAATAGTTCTGGTATCGGACAATTGAATTACCATTATTACCCATGGCAGTATTTACAACAACAACAAAAAAAAAAAAAGAAAAAAAAGAAAAATAGGCCTGATTTCATTTCTTTGTTTTCTCGTGAACTGTGCATTGTTTAAATAAAAAAAAGATAAACCAATAAATAAAAGAAGCCGCAATATTCTATAGATCTATGGATTCACTTCTTAAAATTCTGTGCAGAAGGATGCATTACTCCTAGAATTACCCAATACCATCCAAAGAAAAAAAACGAGGAATTTCCACATGATCATGATGTTTGTAAACAAAACCTGCTCAATTTTCGTAAGTAGATCTAGAATTATAAAATTTGTTATTTATTTCATTAAAAGCATGTTAATACATGGCTTATAGATTCTCTTTTTTGTTAAAGTCTTAAGATAAAGATTAAAGATAGATCATTCTGATTTCTCGTTCGCTGATTAAAACAATTTGTCTTCAGATGTTATGAATTTTTGTCCCTGTAAACAAATGATAAAGTATCTGCAGAGCTAGCAGTCGATGGGGATATTCAGTAGTATATTATACAAGTTAACAAAGTAAATAATCGTCAGAAAATGATGCACATCGGAATTATTCTTTCGTTCGAATTTCCTCAATATGTACACTAGCTGATGATTGAACTTAAAAAAATATATTGTCATGTCTAAATTTGTCTGTAATTTGCAAGTTACAGTTCAGAAGTATCCTGATCACAGTCATCAGCATTAGGCCTACTGATAAGAAAATTAATTATTGTAGTGTACTAGGGATTAATAAACATTGCATGTGTTGCAAGTACCTTTTTTTTTTTTTTTTTTGCTGTCAAGATAGTTTTTGAGATATGGGGGTCAGTGCTTATAGTGCATGTCATTGATTGATCGTCTGAAGTTTACATAGGACATGTACCCACATGATTATTGATGTAATCAATGTTTTTTTTTTTAATTGATATTAAATATCTGAAAACAGTCTTAAAACTTTGAGTAAAAAATTAATCTTTAAACTGCGAAACTCATTTTTATACCATGAATAGTATACATACCCGGTATTTATAGTAATATCATTTATTTATTAAGTTATGTTCATGTTCTTTTGAGGGGAAAAAATATACATCAGATATCAGATGCTTATGTGTATAAGTAAATCATAAGTGACAAAAATACTAGGACCTTTTCTTTTTTACATATTTATTTGTGAAAATATTCTTTCTATTATAAATTGGAAATGAAATTTTAAAAAGTTCAAACTTTATTACTAATAATATGACTTTTTTATTAAAATTGATAGGATATTGGATGTTTTTAAAAGAAATAAAGACTACGTTTTCGTGAATGTTGCTGGATAACCTGCAATAATGTAGACATAGATTTAAATTACACGTCAAGGACTCCCATGCCAATTTCAATAGTCCTCACCCACTGACGTCAAACACAAAGATAGCCGCACAAGATTTTCATGCATATTTGGCCTCCTTAGCTCCTGACCTATTGACCTGCCTAATTTACATTCTGGTAGAATTATTAAGAAATCAACTCAGTTTACTTTCAAAGAGTTACCACAGAGAGAAAAAAAACCCAGACATATGGAAATATTATGGCATCATCTGACTTCATGAAAAATTCTCAAGGGCATAAAACTTCTATAATAATACCGGTAAATGCAGAACATGCGCAAAGTTTTATTTATGGTATACTGATCATTGATAGATGAAAATAATTTATACTTTTAGTTTTATACTTCGACCTCTGTAGGGGTAAATTATCCGGTAAAGTGTCAGTCATTTTGGCTGGAACTAGAAATTTGAGTGATCAATATTCAATTCATTTTCTAATAATGAAAAATTTAATCCATCCATGCTTTGTTATTATACATGTATTTGGTATTGTTTGATTTATTCTATTTTTTTCTTTCATAGAAAATGAAGGTATAGTAGCTGACATATAGTGTACATGTACCACTTGAAGATTTGTCCCCCTTGTAAATACAAGAAACACAAAGGTAATTCTTTGTGAGAAAAGAGAGAATGAATAATAAAATTTTTCAAACCATACAACAAAAACTACTTTGAATAATTAGTACGCAACCAACCATTTACAATTGAATTTCGCAGTTTTATTTCTTTAACATTGAAAAAAATCAAATTTGATATTTTTTTTAGCTCTACTGGTCAGAGATCAGAATAGCTTATGCAATAGGAAGGTGTCCCCTGTCCATCCGTCTAGCTGTCCATCTGTCCATTTGTCTGTAATTTTTGTAAAACTACTCCTATAATTTTGGTATGATTTCAATATAATGTGGAACACAAGTAGACTACACTTAAATACATAATTCTATTTATTGCTGCCTATTGCAAAGTTTCAAATCCAAGTGTTACTTTTTCTTTGTTATACATATACAGACCAGTAGAGCTGCAGCCTAATCAGAGACTTAGGGTTTATCCTTTTCATCACAAAGCAACTTTCTTTTTTTTCAGTATATACAGATACATACACATAAAAGGAGACATCATCTCATGATCTGTGGATCCAAAACTTTAAGGACAAAACTTTTGATAATTCATTCATGTAAAGAGTGTTGACTGGAATATTGAATATCTAATGAATGGAACCAAGAGAAATAATTATGCCCCCCTTCGAAGAAGGGAGGGCATATTGCTTTGCTGCTGTCGGTCTGTCGGTCCATCGGTCTGTCGGTCCACTTAGTTTCCGTTCATTTTCTTCGCAACCGTTCCACATACTTAAATAAAATTTGGTATACAGATATATCTCATGAATATCTAGGTCAAGTTCTGTTTAGGGTACGATAGTGCCATTTTTGACATAGTTATGCCCCTTGGACTTAGAAAAATTCTAATTATTTGCAGTTTCCATTCATTTTCTTTACAACCGTTGCACATACTGAGATGAAATTTAGTATACAGATATATCACCTGAATATCTAGGTCAAGTTCTGGTTTGGGAACATTCGCGCCATTTTTGACAGAGTAATGCCCCTTGGACTTAGAAAAATTCCAATTATTTGCTGTTTCTGTTCATTTTCTTCACAATTATTGCATATACTGAGATGAAATTTAGTATACAGATATATCACATGAACATCTAGGACAAGTTCTGGTTTGAGTACAATGGCAGCATTTTTGACAGAGTTATGCCCCTTGGACTTGGAAAAATTCCAATTTGGGGGGAGGGGGCATAAGTGTTTTACAAACATCTCTTGTTTAATAAGTATTTTATTGTATATTACTCTTTTTATTCATCAGTCAAATTTCTGAATTAAAAATTAAATTTAAAGGATTAAATAAGTTTTTTATTATTATTTTGATTAGAACAAGCTCTTTAATTTATTATTCTCTTATATAAACAAGCATTTAAGGTCATACGCAGCATAGTTTGCATTTTATTGGGTTCTTCCCTGGAGTTGAAGAGCTCCACTAAAAGAAGGACGTGTGCAATATTTTTATTGTCTATACATGGATTTGTAAATCTCTACTAAAGCAATTTTGATGAAAAAAAAGCTTGAATTTTATATGTTTTGTAATTTTTGTACATTTTTAGGTCACCTGAGTAAACTCAGGTGACCTATTGCTATCCGTTTTCGTCCGTCGTCGTGCGTCGTGCGTCGTGCGTTGTGCGTTGTGCGTTAACATTTGAACATTTTCAGCTTCTTCTCTGCAACCACTGAACCAATTTCAACCAAATTTGGCACAAAGCATCTATGGGTGAAGGGGAACAAAAATTGTGAATTTCATGATCCCTGCCCCCCAGGGGCCTGAGGGGTGGGGCCAAAACCACGAAAATTAATGCAATCTTTAAAAATCTTCTTCTTTACTCCTGGGCATCAAGCAGTCAAACTGGTTGCATGATTGTAATCAGCAATGAGTCCTCTACCAAAATTGTGAAATTCATGGCCCTGGGGTCAGGGGTTCTAGTGCTAGGGTGGGGCTAAATAAGTTGGTAGTGAAAATGCAAAATTTCTTTGAAAATCTTCTTCTCTGCTCCTGGGTATTAAATAAACTAACTAAGTACATAGTTATGATGAGCAAGAGTGCCTCTACCAAAATTGTGAATTTTATGGCCCCAGGGTCAGGGGTTCTGGTGTTAGGGTGGGGCTCTATTGATTATATAGTGAAAATGCATTAATTCTTTGAAAATCTTCTTCTCTGCTCCTGGGTATTAAATAAACTAACTAAGTACATAGTTATGATGAGCAGGAGTGCCTCTACCAAAATTGTGAATTTTATGGCCCCAGGGTCAGGGGTTCTGGTGTTAGGGTGGGGCTCTATTGATTATATAGTGAAAATACATGAATTCTTTGAAAATCTTCTTCTCTGCTCCTGGGTATTAAATAAACTAACTAAGTGCATAACTATGATGAGCAAGAGTGCCTCTACCAAAATTGTGAATTTTATGGCCCCAGGGTCAGGGGTTCTGGTGTTAGGGTGGGGCTCTATTGATTATATAGTGAAAATACATGAATTCTTTGAAAATCTTCTTCTCTGCTCCTGGGTATTAGATAAGCTAACTAAGTGCCTAGTTATGGTGAGCAAGAGTGCCTTTACCAATATTGTGAATTTTATGGCCCCAGGATTAGGGGTTCTGGTATTAGGGGGGGGGGGCTCTATTGATTATATAGTGAAAATATATGAATTCTATGAAAAATCTTCTCTGCTCCTGGGTATTAAATAAACTAAGTGCATAGTTATAATGAGCAAGAGTGCCTCTACCAAAATTGTGAATTTTATGGCCCCAGGGTCAGGGGTTCTAGTGCTGGGGGGGGGGGGGGGGGCTCGATAGATTATTTAGTTAAAAAAAACGAATTATTTAAAAATATTATTCTGTGCACCTGGGTATTAAATAAACTAACTAGTGGATAGTTATGAAAACAAGAGTGCCTCAACCAAAATTGTGAATTTTATTATGGTGTTAGGGTGGGGCTCTATTGATTATATAGTGAAAATACAGGAATTCTTTGAAAATCTTCTTCATTGCTCCTGGCTATTAAATAAACTAACTAAGTGCATAATTATGATGAGCAAGAGTGCCTCTTCCAAAATTATGAATTTTATGGCCCCAGGGTCAGGGGTTTTGGTGTTAGGGCAGGGCTCTATAGATTATATAGTGAAAATTCATTAAATCTTTAAAAATTTTCTTCTCTGCTCTAGGGTATTAAGCAGATGAACTACCTATATAGTTATTATCTACAAGGGCCCTAATCTTCCAGAATTGTGAATTTCAAGGCCCCAGGGTCAGGGGTAATATGGGGGGGGGGTGTACTTATATACTGAAAATGAATTGGTTTAAAATCTGCTCCTTGGTATTAATCAAATATCAAGGCCTAAGGGTCAGGGGTTCATGTGTTTGATTATTGCTGAATATAACTGATTAGTTGAAATGCATTTTTTGTTCCCCTACCTTGTGTATGGGTATTGAGTAAACAAAAAGCAACTGCTAAGTGTATTGTTATGATGAATTAAATTTAATCACTGGAAAGTTGTTGCATAATGCTCAGGTGACCTATAAGGCCCATGGGCCTCTTGTTCTTTGAATATTGCAAACATTTTCAAGCTTTAATGTCTGTTCAAAATCCCTGGAAATGCATGCTGATTTTTTGTCTAAAAATTTGTAATATGGTAGACCGTACATGTATTCAAAGTTTAAATTTAAAATATCTTGAAAAATTATTAGTATATAGGTAAGGTACCTTGCGTATGTCCTTAAATGTAAAATGAAGGGATGTGTACCTTTATTCACTGAAATAGGGAACTCATGAAGCTGAATCTTATATGGAAGCATCCCTGGGTAATGAAGATTCCAAATTGTTCAAATCATGACCCCTGGGGGTTGGGCGGGGCCACAATGGGGAATCAAAGTTTTACATAGAAATTTATAGGATAAATCTTTAAAAATCTTCTTCTCAAGAACCACTGGGCCATAAAAGCTGAAACTTGTGTGGAAGTTACCTGGGGTAGTGTAGATTCTAAATTTTTCAAATCATGATCCCCAGGGGGTAGGGGAAGCCACAATGGGGAATGAAAGTTTTACATAGAATTATACTGGAAAAATCTTTGAAAATCTTCTACTCAAGAACCACTGGGCCAGAAAAGCTGAAACTTATATGGAAGCATCCCGGGGTAGTGTAGATTCTAAATTGTACAGATCATGTCCCGCGGGGGTTGGGCAGGGCGACAATGGGGAATCAAAGTTTTACATGGAAATATATAGGAAAAATCTTTGAAAATCTTCTTCTTAACAATCACTGGGCCAGAAAAGCTGAAACTTATGTGGAAGCATCCTTGGGTAGTGTAGATTCTAAATTGCTATAATCATGACCCCCGGGGATAGAGCGGGGCCACATTGGGGATTAAAAGTTTTACAATGGGGAATCAAAGCATCACATTGTAGTGAAGATTTCAAATTGTCTAAATTATGATCAGTGGGGTAGGATGGGGTCACAATATGTATTATGAGGGGAAAATCTGGTAAGGAACGGAATAGTCAAAGCTTCTCAGGTGAGCGATGTGGCCCATGGGCCTTTTGTTTTGCAATGAATTGAGGTAAGAATTTCGAGGAATTAATTCAGAACCGAGCACACTTTTTTGAATGCAATAAATATACATTTTTTTCATTGGGTGGCACTGTAGCTCTCTGGTCTGTCAACATATATTTTTTCGGAGAGCTACAGTTCTGCAGCTACTTAAGTGTAAAATATTTGAATTTAAGTACATATTTTAAAAAACAAAGATATTTATAACGGCGTCTGTGGCGTAATCCGTAGCGCATTGGACTGACAATTGGAGTTCGCTCCCCGGTGTGGGCGCAGTCAGTTTTTCTTCAGAAAATGAAGTCGTGCAGTATTTCGGCATAGTATGCTTATGATATTTAAATACATAGAACACAATGCAAGAATTGTAGGGTATGGGTATATATGTAGATCTAGACAAACGGACAGGAAGCCTAATAATTGACAATATGCATTTATGACAGGAAAATTGAAAATCTTCCTGAAAGAAGTTAAATAAATTTAAGCCACAGGCACTGAAGTACCAATCTAGTTAAAATAAGATGTTAGATCCGCTCGCATAGTCACTACTGTATACAGTCAGTTTAGTGAATATGCGTGCGGATCTAACATCTTATTCAAATTACACACAGATTGCTGAGGTATAAGTTGAATACTCAATTTTTTATATGATTTCATTATGCTATATTCACATCTGCATGGGTATTAACAGTGAGCATCAACTAACTGTGGCTTTTATGTGTTATGGGGTGTCCAAAATCAAGGTGCATACTGACGTTAAACAAAGAAGAAACTTGCAAAGGCCTAAGGTGACTAAATGGCTATTATCAGTTGAATCCATGTCAATGCATGGTGCTTAGTTATTATATGTACGAAAAAAGAATAAGTAAAAGATCAGCAGAGTACATTTACTATAGAAGTAATAGAACTAAGGAAAACTTGTTTTCTACTGGATGATATGAAACATATTAGAGTACCACCGCAAATATTCTGGATCCATGCCCTTTCATCATGTTTATTTCTGAACGGGTTCAATAAACTGTCAACGATTCTTGATATGTTTCAAAGGTGTAGGTAGAAAGTTTTGAAATTAGTGAAAAGGTAGTTGAATATTTTTAATGCAATCTACCAGTAAATGTGCATAATGATTGAAGATGCGGTTGAATTTTTTTTCCATTATTTTCTGTACATTTGTCAGATCGGGTTCGTTGTGTGTAAAATTAATTCCAGCTGTCATTGGAACAAAACAAGGCATGATCAGGATCAAGAAAATTAAATGTAAACATTAGGTAAATTATTACAGTTTGTGCATTTGAATAAGTTTTAAAACTCTCTAAGAATCTTAGAATGATTGATATGACCCAATGTCGTGATTTTTTTTTAATTAGAAACCTATCAGTTTAGTGCAACAAACAGGCAAAGATTTAACAACGTGATCATGTTGTAAAACTTTACAAATGGCACGTATGCAATAAATTAACCTAAATGATGAGAAGGAAAATAAACAAAAAAGATTTGTTTCTTTCATAATTGTAATTTTTATTTTTCCCATTCAAAGGAAGAAAATAAGGTAATCTACATACAAGGGAAATTGTCTTTTTACTTAAAAAAAAAAACACCAAAAACCCTGAAAATTATAGAGATAAATTCACTGTTGATTTTAGTGCTATTTCATGTGAAATCTTTAATCATTGAAAAAATTAAACATTACCCCAAAATTGGTTAATTTTAAGAAATTAAAAAAAAAATGGTTTAGGAAACACATATTACTTAAAAATTAAGTTAAATGAAAATAAATAATGAATAGTAGTTAAACTGTTCAATAGTTTCTCTGTTTAGTTTAAAACTTTTGTTTCTTTATCCCATGGGAGAATTTTTATCTATT